TAATATAAACACTAGTTGGGGGGAATTGTTGTACTACTGAATCCCCAACTGCCTGCGGCATATGATGCTGCTTCTTACTAAAAGGCAAAAATGGCAAAAAAAAAAAAGGAAGAAAAACATCCTTGTGGAAGACAGTAATTTATGATGCACAGATGTGTGTATGCGTGTTTTCTTTTTTCCTGTTGTCTCTCTATCTCTCTCCTTTGTGTCTGCGTGCGTGGATTGGTGCGGCTTGGGTAAAAAGGGGTAAATGTGGAAGTCTGTGGTCGATGTGACCTATTGGCTAACGACTGTGCTGATGGCGCTTTTCACGCTGGTGACTGTCCTTGTCGCAGTGGGCCTGTCTAAAGGCTTCTTTCGGCTTAGCTTGTCGTCCTTGTCGTGGCGTCATATTTTGTCCCTCACCGGCATGTCGTTTCGCGAGAAGCAACTCCTGGCCTCTATGGAGGCGGAGGAGCTGGTGGAGGCCGCGTTGCGGGAGGCTGGTTGGAAACACGTGTTTCTTCGTCGGCGCGTGCGTGTGCAGCGCCTCGGGCACAACCGCGAAATTGACGTGGTGGCGGTGGGACCTGTTGTACTTGTGGTGGAGGTAAAGCACTGGCGCGGCCAAGTTTGGAGCAACGGCCCGCGGTGGTTCCAGTGCCCCAATGACTCCAGGCGTGCATTGGAGTTTGAGGACATTCAGGAAGACAACCTAGTGAAGGCAGCCGCACTTCGCCGCTTTATTGAAAACGACAGACGAATCCCGCTTTCAGACTTTCACACGCTTAGTGCCAATGGCTCACGCACGGCGGCGGGCGTAATGGAGGGGAAGTCGCGGATGCAAGGCACGTGGTATACGGACCGTCGTGTGCATAAGCAATGTGGTGAGCTTGTTGTGCCGGTCGTCGTCTTTACGAATCCTGCCGTTGTATTGGACCCTAACACCGTAAAGCAAAAGGAGCGTGTTTTTGATCTTTCCTCCTTCCAATCATTTGCAGCGCAGCTTATGCGCGACCTGCGTGGGCCCTTGCCTTGCGGTAGTCCTTGGGGACGCTTCGCACAAGCGTTCTGTTCCATGATTTCTGGGTCGGGGGAAAGGGCCTTGGCGCTTTCCGCCCTAGAGGAAGAACGCGTGGCCGCTGCCGTGGACACGATGCGAACGTGGGACATGATCTACCTGCACAGCGGCCGTCTGATCCACGGGGATGTTGTGGAACTCTGTCTCCCTTCTATTAACCGCCGCGTGGAGCGGAAGCACGTGCTGGATGTTGAGGTGCGCTGGTTTGACGGAGTCGTGGGTTTCCTGCGAAGTCTTTGGGAGGGAAGTGGCGGTGCGGTGCGCGTGCGACTTGGCGCCACCCAGCGACTGGCGATGAGGCGTGACGAAATTGTCATCCCCATCACGCGAAGAAACCTGAAGCAAATGCGGGCTAACGATCGGCTAGTGGTGAAGATGGCGGGTAGCAGAGATACCGAGACGGTGGCCCTGGCTGACATATGCAGGCTGCGACTTAGTCACCACATGGAGGATTCGCACGGTTGACGCCGGTGGAGAAAGAGGGCCCGCGAAGCAGCGGGCCTTGACGGCGGTCCAATGAAAAACAGGTGGCGTGCGTGCGTGCATCTGCGGTTAGCTGTGTGTGTGAGAGAGGGAGAGGGAGAGGGAAAATAAGCGAGGAGCTGGTGTGTACATATATATATATATATGTGTGTGTGTGTGTGTGCGCCCTAGTCGAGTAATCATGGAATATAATTGAAAAGAGAGAGAGAGGGGAGAGAGAGGGATCAGGATACGTCTGTTGCTTAAGGGGGAAACATGCCCGATACTTCACATGGTAGACGCAACAGGTGAAGAGTACAAGAAAGATAGAAAAGAGAAGCCTTAAGAAACGAAGGAGCCGATGCATATGCCGCTTTTTCCCCTCCGTCGCCTTGCTACACACGCACGCACATGCTCTTTTGTGTTGCGCGGAGATGATGCTCCTGAACTTCTGTTTTTTTTTTATTCGTGTGTGTATGTCGTTAGTGTCTCTTTGCTGGCTGCCTGCGAAGACAACAATGGCACGAAAACAAAAGCGAAATGTGCCTCCCGAAGGTACAGCGGCCGCTTCATCCGGCCCAGAAGCTACAGTCCTTGATGACGCGGCCGGCAACGAGAGCGCCCAAAGCAGTGGCGACGGAGATGTCTTACTGGATACGCAGGCACCCCGGGAGGCGCCGGACCTTGAGCACGAGGCTTCGTTGAACTCCGACCTGCCGCTTTCCAGCCAGCAGGGTGGAGGCGCAAGGTCTGCTCTCATGGAGGTCCAGAAGAGGACACGAAGAGAAGGCAAGGACACGGCTGGAATGGGGCAGTTCCTTTACATCCATTTTTATCTTTGGCCGATTAAGGGTCCTCAGAGTGGGACTCCAAGCCTGGATCATCTAAACCCAAGGCTGCAGAAACTTGCCCGGAGCGTTGAGTCGCTGTTTCCGCCGGGTACATCCTTTGACGTTCGTCGCGAGGTTCGCCTCAATCGTCACTTAAATCAAAGGGATCACAGGTACTGCAATAAGATTCACAAAAATCAAGACATGTTGAAATTTAAAATTACTCTATGCGAGGAGCATAGATTTATACCGGCCGAGTTTGCAAACGCTTTGTCTCCATGCGACGAGTTGCCATTCCACATGGCCTTTGTATTTGACCCTACGCTTGTGGCAGAGGTGACACACTACAAGAATATACGGTGCCCTCCCAAAAGGGAATCTGGCACGACTGAAGGCACTTACTTTGTGGCGGTGTTTAGAGGCGTCCAGGTAAGCTCTATTCGTGAGCTGGTGGACGCCTTTTTTCGCGCCTACTTGGAGAAAACCGAAGCAGAGCTGGAGAAGAACCACCCCTTTCCCCTTATTTCCACCGCAACGAGCTGCCCCGTTCAAGAGCCGTCCGTTTCAACTACAGCGGAGGCCGACGATACGGGGCAGGAGAAACCTGCTAAGAAGTCAGACACGATTCCCGTGGAGTTCGTGTCGCCGCGAGCCTTTCTTGAAGAAAAGGAACATCATAAATTGATCAACGGTCCTGTGCAACAGGTTTTGGTGCGTGACAGGCAGTTGGGGGTGATGGTGCTTGGCCGCGCATGCGACAAAAACATTATTGGCCCTCCAGCTCGTCCCGCGACGGGGGCAAGACGGGTTTTGGCCTCCAAAGGCAGCGAGCAAAGCAGCACGCACTCCGCACAGTCGAGGAGTGCGGATGTAATTCTCCACGTACCTTCACCACTGCTTCCGCCATTCACGCTCTGGCACCTCACCGGTGCCACTGTGGAGGCAGTCGGGGTCTTCACACGTTCATCTTCATCCACTCCGGAGTTCCGGGTTCGGTGCAGCAGCCATGACGACGACGACGACGACGGCGACGACGACGACGAAAACAACGACAACGTTGTACTTGCACAATGGGCACAGAAGCTCAAAAAGAAACGGACAAGGGAAGGTAAAATCCCCCTCACGCAGGACGTCATGAACCTGAAAGATGCCCACAAACTTCTATCTGGTCGCCAAGCAAAGGAGAAGTCGATGCAAGGGAAAAGGACACGGAGCACGTCTTCTGTTCCCCTCGCTGACGTGGAAAGCTTGACTCATTACGGCGAGGCTTTGGACGCTTTTAGATTGCATGATGAGATGGGCCCCACCCTCGGGTGGCTGTTGCGCTCCAGCACGGCCTTCGTCATTGACTAGCGGATCTCCCTTAGGAAGCGAGTGAGCGGGCGAGAAGACGCGGGGGAGGCAAATGTGAATGAGTGAGCGAGATATGTATATGATAATAAGGCCTCCACATCACGGTGTGGTTTTCTGATGTTTTCAAATTCTTTTCCTTTGATTTTTGTTTTGTTTATTTGCGCCCGAGGCGTGGTGGCCGTGGAGCGATCGGCCTCAGCAGGAGAAATATAGGAGTAACCGAAACTTTTAAAATAAAAAGAAAAACAATAACAACATAAAAAAAAAAAACATGCTCATTGTTGATGACTGCGTTCGTTCGCCGCCAATTGCGCTGCCGTCTTTCTCGCCTCCTCCTCTCCCTCCGGGTGGGTTGTGAAACCGCCTTTGTGCACTGCGGCGCCTGTGGCTGTCGAAGAAGAAAGTGCGAGGGGCGGCGAGAGGAACCGAAGACGAAGCGGGGAAAAAAAAAAGACCGGATAATGTGAGGGGACAAGTAGTCGCGTTGAAACCAAAATAAAAATCAGAGGCACTTATCCATTTATCAACATCTTGGGGAGTTTTTTTTTTTTTACTTTTTTGCTTTTACTTTTGCTCACTTCTTTGATGCCAACCGGTGTTGGTGCTTTTTTTTTCCTCTGTGTGTGTGCCCCATTACCATGCGGGCACTTAAGCCGCTGGGAGTCTCCACCGCGTGCGCGTCCCAGCCTTCCGAGGCACCGCAGTCACTACCAATCCCACGCATATCGATAAATCAAAGCGGAAGAACACAACAACGAACCTTGCAGATTTGTAAGGTCTCACACGCGTCAAGTAGAAAATATGCTATCGTCATTTCAGCAGGGGAAAAAAAACTCTTCTTGCCGTTGTTGATGTTGAGGCCGTTTATGGTTTTTCTTCACATTCATTCCATCACTATCGACACATCTTTACCCACCCGCTTTTTCTCCCCCTTTTCTCCTCTGTTTGCTTCTTGGCCGCCTTTCCTGTGGAGAGGGGAGGTTGAAGAAGTTCGACGCACTCGCAAGAGCAATGGGGGGCAGGAACAGGGGCGGGAGAAAGCGACAGAGATAAAAGTCGTGGCCCGCCGCAGTGGCTGCCGTCGTTAACAAATGGGCAGTGCGCGTTTTGTAGCTTTTGCGATCGTCCCTCTCAGACGGGCGGCAATTGACTAAAGGGGGGCAGGTGGGTGCAATCGGGTACCTTTTTCTTCCTTCCGATTGAGGATGCTGTTTTAACAATATTGATGCCGGCAACGGTGTCCCCATCTGTATTTGCACTTAAAACGTTTTTTTTTGTCATTTTTTTTTTGTGTGTGGCGAATGGGAGCAGCACGAATCCTGGGAGACGTCTTCCCAACCCTTACACTTTGTTACTCGTGCACTGCCTCGTCGAACGGAAGCGGCGCACTGAGAATGCATTGCCGGCGTAGTGCTGCTGCCGTTTGCACTGTGGCTGGGGAATGCGATTTTCTTCCACTTCCCCTTTGACTTTCTTCCACACACACACACACACACACATACACACGCACACTTGCTTACTTACAATCTGCACGAAAACAACGATAAACTCAGGAAGGAGACGCCGTGCGGAGGAGAGAAGTGGAGAACTGGCGGCCAGCTCCGCAACCAATATTACCACTCTCGTGGTGAATGCTTCGCCGTGGCGTTGTTGTGCGCTGGGTCCCACGCTACGCCCGTCAGTTCCCTCGGGGACGAGGGCGGGGGCGAAAGGCGGCGGCGGCCGCCGCGGGGTTGGCAAGTGTTGCCTCAAACTGCTCAACGGAGTCCCCAGTTGTAAGGGCGTATGATGAACAAGTGGCTCTGGCGGCGAAGGCAAGGCAGCGAGAGGTGAAAAAAGGTGCACCATCGACGCCGGACTCAACGATCCCTGACGTCTCAAATCTGCTGCTGCGAAAAGCAGAAAAGCTTCTCGACCGTTGGCAAAAGTTGAGTGAGACGATGGTAACCCGCCGCATCGGGGGCGTCCCTTCCGTTGCCTGCGTCTCCTCCCCAAATAAGATACAGAGGTCCTCTCTAGATCAAGAGCGAGATGCCGTGTTGTTTATGGCCCAAACTGAGGTGTTCGCCGTTGTCAAGGGCGTGCTGCCGTCATCGACGCGGCAAGATGTCATTGTGGATCGAAGCGCGGAGGACAAGGGCCCGACGGACCCACAGAAAGGCTCGACGCAGGAGGGCAGATCCACTCGTGGCACCAGCAGCATGGTGATCATTCCCGATGAGGCCGCGGCAGACGCCGTGAAGTACCTGGAGCAACTAGGGAAGCGCCACGCAGGGACAGTGCAAGGAGGAGTCGACTCCGTGGAGGGCCCATCCCCTACCTCAGCTTTGGTGTTTTCTCTGCATGAGCTTGTGGTATTTCTTCAACTGTACAATGACGTGAATTGTGAAGATGGTGAGTTGCTTCTGCGGTTACTTGCGGAACTACGACGCGTCGTTTTTTCGGCAAGAAAAGGGCTTGACAACGAGCCAGGTGTGTTGAGTATTCGCGAGGAAAGCGTCGTCCCACGGCTACTTCTGACGCTCTCCAGCCTTGGGATTGTAGAGGATAATGTGCTGCAACGACTGGTCACTGTTAACGGCGGACGCTTCATATCAAGAGCGAAGATTGCACGGTATTCAGAGGCGGATCTTGTTCGTTTACTCGTGGCTTTCCACCGTTTTGGACTTCACCACGAGCCTTGTTTTGGCCTAGCGGCAAAAGTGTTGCGGCGGAAGTCGTTGTGTAGCCCACTCAGTTCATTCCGTCGTCGTGCGTTGTCCTACAAAACCGATTCTCTTCCCGCTGGAGACGTGAAGAGTGGTGGCGTGCCTGCCTTGATGTCCGGGCTCACGCTGAATGAGTTGCTGGAGGCACTAACGGCGGTATCGCTTAGCTTGTCCCGAGAGAGGGAGGTTGTGGAATTACTTGCGGCCACCATTGTCGCCGCTGTGGAGGAAGAAGAAGGTGCGGTGCACCGCAACGGAGGAGGCGCGCGGACGCGAGAAGAGGACGCTGGTTTTTTTCGAACGCTGCAAGTTCATCGGGCAGCAAAGGTTTGCGAGCAAATGGAGCAGGCCCAGCCGGCGCTAGCGCACCTGCTTCATCGGCTTTCTATTCGCTATGGTGGGGTGCTTGCCGACGGTGGCGAGGAGGCCTTGAGCCCGGAGCGGGTTGGTTTCTACGACTTCGTCACGGCAGATTTGGTGAAGGTGCGTCGTAGCTGAACCCTGTAACGGATTTTCCTGCATTGCGTGTGCGTGTTTGTTTCCCTCCTTTATTTTCCTCTTGCGCCATTGCCGCCCTCGCACGTCGCCCTCCGCGCCCTCTTTCCACCAAGTCGTGGTTCAATGTGTGTGTGTGTGGGGGGGGGGGGGGGGAAATTGCTGTTGATTATTTTTTTTTCCGCCGCTTTGCGCCCTCACGCCTCTATGCTCGTCAACGAGTAGGTTTCTGTGGCTGTGGCCGAACAGAAAAAAGAAAAAAAAGAAAATTATTATTCTTAAGCCTGCGGCTCTGCACCACACGAGTGAAGGAAAAAGGACGGCGCAGGCGGCGAACGGGAAGCAGTGCAGCTTGGCCATGCAAGAGTCGCGGAGTTTTGCCGAGGTGGTCGCCGGAGGGGCGCCCGTTAGCCCGGCCGAGCTGGGCGGCGGCAGCACCACCGGCGGCGTCGCATTTAACTTGAGCGCCACGACCGACGCGACGCTGCTGGTGGGCGCCCCGACGGACTCCGCCCCGCTCGGGGGGGCGGGCCCGTTGCCGATAGTCCGACCCCCGGGCGGGGAGAGTTACGCCGACGCCGTAAAGTCGCGGAGCGTGAAACTGAACGGTGTCCCGGTGAACGTTGGGAAGGTGCTTGGCTACGTGGAGTCGCAGACGAACTCAACGCTGCAGGAGCAGGAGTCTGTGCTGTCATCCTGGGCTGACGACGATCAGTGCTTTTTCGACTCCATACGCATTGCGCACGAGGAGGCCGAGAAGAAAAAAGAGACGGAGCGGCTGCAGCAGGGGAAAGGCACCGGCCAGGCTGAGGGCTGTTTTAGGCAAAAACGCTCTGCACGGGGGTGGCGCTTCATCGGCGGCGGCGGCGAAAGCAACAACAACAACAACTCTGGCAGGCGACACAAGGGCCCCTACAACAACCATAATAATAACAAACACTACTACCACAACGCCTTTCAAAAGGCGGGTGGCACTGAGCCGCCAAATCTTTCCGGTGGGCGCTTCGCTTCGCTGCGTTAACCTTCACCCGTGGCGCAGTCGAACCGCGAGAGAATGCGTGAGATTGCGCAGGACAACAACAACAAGCAAAAGCAAAAAAAAAAAAAGCGTGGCGAACGGGGGAAAGCGAGAGACGGCGCGTTTTCGTCGGGAATAAAAAGCGAAATGCCAACAGCTGTGCCTGTGCGACGAACACCCACGCACGAAAACATGCACACACACAAAAAAAAGGGGGAAATACAAAAAAAGTTGTAGTCTCAAATGGAATAAAAGATACGGATACATGTATACATACATATATATATATATATATGTATGTGTTAGTAGGTAAGGAGGGGAAAACAAGGAAGTGGTGCGCTCCTGTACACGCATAAGCAAACATTTTTCTTCTACTCAGCGGCAGCAACTGCCAGAGGGGGAGAAAGCAAGGAAACCAAACTAACGTTAATAACTTAAAGCATTTGACCATAAACTCAAAAAGCAAAAAAAAATGAAATAAAAGTTCTTATTCTTGCCGCACGAAAAAAAAAATCGGAGGAACAAATAGCCGCCCGCTACTGCAGGCACAAATGTACGTCAACATTCTCATGCATTTTTTTTTGCCTTGTTTTCTTTGTTGTTTTGGGGAATGCTTCCGCCGTTTTGCTTTGTTATTTGGTGCTTCTTTTTGCTGGTTTGAAGCTTTCTTGCACCTCTCTACATGAATGCCCTATTCGCTATTGCTGCCTTTGCGTGCGAAGTTCGCGAGAACGCATGCATGTAAGCCTTAAGTCATCGGCACAAACCGAGAAAATTTGGAGAAACAAAAAATGAGAAAGAAAGATGGAGAGAGGAAGGAAATTAATAAGGAAAACAAAACAAAAACGGAGCTACAATGTTGCAAGGGGCGCGAGGCTGGCTGCATTTGTACCTCACTGCTTATGGGGATGATGAAACTTCTTAGTTTGCCTAAGTGCATCAATGTCTCTGGTAGTCGCAACTTCGGGAGGTTCCGTTTTCACATTTTTTGTATTACTTTCTAGATCGATGCCATCAGTGTGATTGTGACGATTCTTTTTTTTTGGTGTGGTTGCTTTGAGTATTGCTGTTAACGGCACCCGCCAGCATAATTTTGTTTTATTGTTGTTGCTGCTGCTGCGTGTTTGATTCTTCTGAGCGGTCGGGATAAAACGAAGAAGTAATTTATTCACACGTCCCCGTGAACGGCGACCGGTCCGGCACGAAAAGAGACGGTGGTGTCGGATTTGGGACGCGTGGCGAATGTACTCGCAATGAACAAGAATGAAAACGCAAAAAAAGAAACATGCCTTTTCATTCCTCTCTTTTTCTCATCTGACTCGTATTTGTTTGTGTGGCTGCGGGTGTGCCTGTTTGCCCCTCTGTGTATTCTCCTGCTTGCGTGTGCGTGTTCCTGGATATCTGGGCCGCGGGAAGGTAACAAGGGCGCATGCATGCCTCTCCACCCGCGAGGCGCACGTAACAGGCCCATGCAGGCGGAGACCGAGGAAGAAAAGGGAGATTCAATATTTTGGGGCCAGAAAAAGGCAGCAGCAGCAGCAGCAACAACAACAACAGCGAAGTTCCGTTTTATTAATCCCGTCTGTTTTTTTTATTACCCTTCCAATTCAAGTTTGGTGTTACGGCTGGTGCATTGTACTAACTTGTTGGGGGAGTTGAAGCTGAGAGAGAAATGGAAAGAGAGCGACAACGTTCTTTCTGTACGCGACTCATTTGTCGCGAATGGGTGAATGGGTTCTTGTTTATTTGTGTTTTTTTTATTTTACTCTTATTTGGTTTTGTCGTTTTTTTTCTTTTGTGTTACTGGCCGAGTTTCCGTGTGTGTGCTTGTGTGCGTGTGTGTGTGTGTGAGTGTTTTCCGCGATGAAGCGTTTGGAGTGCTCTTCTCACCCCCCTCACTCGTGTGTTCAGGTGCATTGACACACGCACACACACATTACAACTACGCTAACGTGAAGGAAGCCATAGGACTTCTCGCTTCATTGTTATTTATATTTGCTGACAAGGGTGATGCTCTGCTTGCCGTAGGTGTTGTTTTATTTTTTGTTTCTGTTTTTTTTTTGTCTTTTTTGTTTTCCTTTTTTTTTTTTTTTTCAGGGGGGAGCTGCTTGGAGGAGAACGTGAGTGAAGTACCGAGAGCGGGTGGGTGTGCGCCGCTCTGCATCTGAAGTGAATTGTCGACTATGCGCGTGTAAGTGCCCGAGACAAGAGGCTGCGAAAGGCATAGTGAGAGGCAAAAGGAGGAGAGAAAGATAAGAAAATAAAAAAGAACAGACGCGCATACGCACAGTTCTCTACGTGCACTCACGTGTGTGTGTGTGTGTGTCCTTTGCAGACGAAGAACGAGTGCAAGTGGTGTGGTAGCCACGGCACCCGATACTGGGCTGAAGTGCCCCCTTCTCCTCCAAAGAAAAATATATAAATAAACCCAATGCATATAAGTAAATAAGTGTAATATTTACTTATCTATACGTACGTCTGTTGTTTAAATGTTGCAGTGAGCGTCACAACAATGCGGTGGAGGAGCCTGATTCATCCCGGGTATTTTGTTGCCTTTATTTTCCCCCGTCTGCCACCACTATCTGCTGCTTCACCTTTTTTCTTGCGCGTGTTGCACGCCGCCGTCGTGGGTGCAAGCGAAGGTGGGACTCCCCTGACCGAAAAAAAAAAAAAAAGTGGGTGTGGTGGGGGTGATGCGAGGCAACGTGCCGATTTGCCTCAGAACTTCACTTTTTCGAACATACTTTGGTTGTTGCTGTTGTTGTTGTTGCTTTTCCTCGCTCTGGGTGACTCTGTGTCGTAGTTGCCCTTTTTTTTTTCTTCCGGCAAATGGCTGCCGCTCAAAAAAAGAAAATTGAGGAAAACGCGGAGAGGGGCGAGCAATAACAGACAAAAACAAAAGTGGTGGATGCGGTGCGAGGGTGTCAGCGACTCAAAAAAAAAAGAGCAAATGCAGAGGCGGTGCAGGGAGGGAAATACTTAACAGCGTATCCCTCTTGGTTCCCCCCGGCGTATGTGCGTTTTCACTAAGCGTGGGCGTTGGGCTGCCTTCCTCCTCAACGCCTCTCTGTGGGTGGACTTCACTAATTCTCTGAGATTGCAGCAGCTGCTGCGCGTTGCGGGTGACAGTCTGCCGCTTGGCTTGAAGTTTTTCTTTTTTTTCCCCCCTTGTTGCTGTTGCTTCTGCTCTGTTTTGATCTTATGTGTGTACGTGCGCGTTTTGAAGGATCTCTTTGGCGCAGTGGCATTTGTTTTGTTTGTTGTCTTCTCGCTTCTCGTCATCGCGGCCTCTGCAGGTGGACGGCCCGGCGTCTCGTGGCGACGCTGCACAGGCACACGATTATACCCCTTTTAGAGGTCCCCGCGTAGTGTCTATTTCGCGCCGGGGCGATGGCGGCGATAGCGTCAAACCTGCCGGTGGGTATGCGGGGGGAGGTGAACGAGCTGCGGCTGCATATGCGGGATCCACAGTTTGAGAAGAATCCCGTTCACAGGCGTGATGTTCTTCGCAAAGTGATTGCTCTCATGACGATGGGCGTAGACACGTCAAGTCTCTTCAGCGAGATGATACTGGCATGCTGTACGACGGACATTGTTTGCAAGAAGCTCATCTACTTCTACCTCATCAGTCGCTCGGAGAACAACGCGGAGCTGGCACTGATGAGCATCAACACCCTGACAAAGGAGTGCGCGGACGAAAGCCCGCTGGTGCGGGGCCTCGCCCTGCGTTCGTTAGCGTCGTTGCGTCTGCCGCAACTGTTTGTTTTTTTGATCCCTGTTGTAAACAAGGGGTTCTCAGATGTTTCGCCCCACGTCCGCAAAACGGCATGCCTCTGTGCATTGAAGGTGTTTCGCATCTCCCCCGTTGAGTTTCATAAGCAGGGGTTTTTCGACCGGATGCTTGGGATGCTGCGCGACGGCGATTCGCTGGTGTCGTGCAACGCCCTTGCCGTTCTCGTGGAGGTCTCGCGGGAGGCGGAGGCAAACGGAACGGTGGAGGGCCTTTTTGACGTCACGAAGCCTATTTTGTATCACTTGTTGAACAAACTGCGAGGTGTGCCGGAGTGGCACCAGGCGCAGATCATCAATCTTGTGCTCCGCTACACCCCTGGAAGCGAGGAGGAGATGTTTGACATTATGAACCTTCTCGAGGAACGGCTGCAGAGCCACAACAGCGATTTGATTCTCAGCGTATGCAAGGTGTTTTTTCACCTGACGCAGAATTACCCCGCGGTGCACCGCCAAGTCTTTGAACGACTCAAGCTTCCGCTGCTTTCCCTCATATCCTCAGGCTCCAACTCGGAAGTTTCCTACGTGGTGTTGTGCCACATTAAACTGCTCGTGCAGCGTGAACCACGCGTGTTTCAGGACGCATACAAGTCCTTTTATTGCCTGTACATTGACCCTACCTATATGAAGGCGGTGAAGATTGACATACTGTCTATGCTGGCGACGGAAGCGTCATCCACGGCCATCGTTGAGGAGTTTGCGGCGTACGCGTCGGAACGTGACAAGGCTGTGAGGTGTGCGGCGATTGAGGCAATGGGGCAGGTGGCATTGCGCCTCCCTTGCACTGCGCAGAAGGTGCTGCAGTACTTTTTGCTCTTTCTTGAGATGGACTCCGATCACGCCCGTGGAAAGAGCCTTGTTGTGATGAAGGACTATCTGCGCAAGTACCGCGACATCGCCGTCGTGCGTCCGTTTCTCGACGCACTTGTGCGCGTCTATCATGAGATGAACTTTGCGGATGAAGAGAGCCGAGTGGCGCTTGTGTGGGTGCTTGGAGAACTCGGTGAGCACATTGAGGATGCCCCCTACATTTTAGAAGGAATGTGCAATGAAAATTTACTTGCCGAAACGCCGGCGTTTCGTCTTCAGTTTCTTACCTCCGCCGTGACGCTATTCTTCAAGCGACCCCCCGAGATGCAGCATGTGCTTGGAACAATGTTCAAACTGCTCATTAATGATTTCTCTCACGCGGACGTGCACGACCAGGCGTTGCTGTACCATCGGCTGCTCCGGCAGAACCTGGTGGCGGCAAACAAAATTATCTCCGGCCCAAAGGCGGAGATCAAATACTTTGTGGAGGAGCAGAACGCGGCGCTGCGCGACAAGCTGCTGGAGGAGTTTGACACCCTCTCGGTTGTGTATCAACAGCCGAGTGACAGTTTCTTAAAGCTGCCCAGGGCAGAAAGCGACGCTGAAGATGACGACGACGACGACGAGGAGGAAGCGCAGGACGAGGAGGAACACCTGATGGGTGAGGTGGTGACGGCGGCCGCCTCCGCCAGCGGCCACGCGCAGGAGACGACCGGAAATGCGGCTGGATGGCAGGGTGCGTCTCTTGGTATTCTGGAGAGCGGCTTTGAGCTGTCGGAGGATCCGAGCATCGAGCCACAAGAATTTCAACGTCGTTGGGGTGCGTTGGGTGAGGCGGCGACGTGCGCGTTGCAGCTGCAGCTTCGGCAAGCGCCGGAGCGTGAGAGGTTTGAGGAGGGTCTGGAGGAGTGTGGCATCATCACCTTGGCCTCTGGCGCTCAGGCAGGCGCGCAGAAGTACTACTTGTACGCGCAGGAGGAGGGAAACGACGCCACGTACTTTCTTCTTGAACTCTTTTTGCACAACTCCGGTGCTGTGAATATTACAGTTAAATCCGATAATCCCCACATGTCGCGGTTCCTGCCGCTTCTTCAGAGGATCATGGGGCAGTTCTGAGGGGGAGGAATCGTGAAGGAAAGCAAAATGGCCTTTAACGAAGCCAAAAACGGCGGTCGAATGGGTGACTGTGCCTGTGTGTGAAGGGTGGTGAGATGAAAGCCACCTGTGGACGCTGCAGGCTTTGTCGCAGCAGTAAAATGATCACCCGCCCCCTGTCCCCCTTTAGTTGTCGTTGTTTGTTTTTTCCTATCGTCCTCAGGGTGTGTCTCCCATCCGGCTGCTTCTTCCTCAAATGGTCCTTCTCAGGGGGACTGTGATGGTGACGAAGAGGCCTATCCATCAGTAATGTGAGCCCTCTCCTGCGATGAAGAGAAGGTGACAATGTGTGTGTCTGTGTCTGTGTCACTGCGTTGACGAAAGGAACTGGCCGAGCGCGAGGCTGCCGCATGCATTTCCTATTTTCTCTGCTTTTGCGTTTGCAGGGAGCAAAAGGCAGCCGAAAGGAGGGTGGGAAGAGACTCAAGGCGGAGGGACGGGCTTTATAACAATAATAATATTTGCGTTTGGGCGACCGTCGTCCGGCGTTAGAGAGACACTCCACACCTGCACAGGCACGGATAGAGAATACTATAGATAGATATATAGTACTGTAATACGTTACGGCTTTTTGTGCGTTGTTGGGCTCCTTGCGGCGGAAATGGAGGACCGGCAGGCCTTTTTTGTTCAAAGTGAGGATGGCCGCAAGTTTAAAATGGTGATTCGTGGAGACTTAGGGAAGTTGAGCGTGGGAAAGATACGGCGCTACCTCAAATCGTACGGTGTGCCGGATGGGCAGCTGCTCCTCCACGACGGCGTGGCGCTGGAGGACGAGGCGGTGGGAAATGATTTTGGGCTGCGGAACAATGTCGTATTGCAGTTAGTATCTCCGCATCTCCATGCACTGACGGGAGGGGGCGGGGCGAAAAAACAGGCGTCTTTTCTCCACACCTGATGGGAGAGGAAACCGCCAGCAGTCTCCCCTCTGCGGTGAGCGCGGAGCTACGGGAATGCCATTCGCAGGCTCCCTCCTCGCGTGTGCTAGCGGCAGCCGCGACACGCCACGTAGACCCAGCTACCGCGTCCGAAGCTCGTTCTCAAACTAATGCCGCGTCTACGGTCGCCCTTAGCAGCAACAATAATAGTAAGCATAATGGCAATGACGGGGGCACTGCTCCTCTGGGAGTGGCGCTGGAGGTAGAAAATTTGCGGCTGCGCGACGAGGTTCAGCGGCTTCGTCAGGAGCTTTCAGAGTTGCGGGAACGTCAGAAAAGTGACGCCACCGGTGTGCGACCAGAGCCTGCTATTGTAGATCTTTTGCAAAACGCAAAGGCCAATCTAAAGGAACTCGGTAAAGAGTTGGGGGTTCCATTGCAATTTGACATGAATCTCACCTGCGTCATTGGCACGGATGAACGTCAGACCGTGTTGGTGACCTTTGACCCCGCTACCGAGCGGCTTTACGTGTATTCGACGCTACTGACGCAGCTGCCCGAGGATGCAGCGGTGCGTGTCAAGATGTATGAACTTCTTTTGGAGGGTTCCTTACTGGGACGTGAAGTGTGCGGCGGCGGCATCGGCATGTCGTTGCAGAATGGTATCGTGCTGCTGTCAACCACCATTCCGTTGCGTTATTGCTCCTCTTTAGCCCTAAAAGACACCATGCCATCCTTTGTTGAAACCCTGGGACGTTGGCGCTCCCTCATCAACGAACTTCTTGAGTAACTCGGAGTTCCCAGCCATCTGTTGTAATGGGTATGTGCGTGTTGAAGCACGCATGCGTGTGTGTATGAGGGAGACAGAGAGGGAGAAACATGGTTTGAGGTAAACCACGCATCCAGACATTCTCAGCATGCCCGTCCGCCTTGCCCCGTCAGCTCCCTGTCGTTGCCGGCCTTTTTAACGCCTTAACACGACACAAAGGATTGAAAGTAAACAAACAAGCGTAGGACACGAAATTATATAAGGGCGCGGCAGTGGGTTAGTGTGGATTTACCTCACCTACTGTTCTTCCTTTTCTGCGGTTTCCGCCACCAGGCGGCGGGCAGTGGGAGGCTTCTGCTCCGTTGCCGCTGTAATTTGACGGGTACACGGACTGGGGTGAAAAAGGGCATGAATAGGGAGGACAACAACAACAGCTGAGTTTATTCGTGGGTGTTTTGGTATAGTTTAGGTCTTGATGCCTAAATGTGCGAGACGTGCGAAAGCGTCTGAACACAAGAGTCTGACCGGTTACCTTTTTCCAATTTTTTTTTGTCCACCTTCGTCCCTGGGAGTGGCATTTCTCTCTCCGTCACTCTCTTATTCCCGCAGCCGCGTGTCACTGTGCAGCGTTGCCAGCAAAGGTAGTAGTAGTATTGGTGCTATGGGCCCTGTCGTGCGGTGCATCGTGTTTTTTTTTCTGTGTTGTTTGTAGCGCCTTTGTTGTGGTTTTTGCTGCTGCTTCTCACTCTTGTCCCCGTCTTTTTTTTCCCCCCTACTCGCGTGTTTTTGTTGCTTCACTAGCCTCTTCCGAGACCATCTCTTGTCCTTTCTTTGTTTTTCTTGCCTCCTGCTTGTGTGTGTGTGTGTTTTTCTTTTTTGTTTTGCTTTCCCCTCTGGCTCCCGTCCCTCCGGCACATGTTTGCATGCTGTGGGAGTACCCGCCGCACGAGCGAACTCGTCGTTGAAAGGTCGCTAGAGGGAAAAAAGATGCCACCGCCACCGCCTCCAAAGGCACCACCACCACCACCGCCGCCGCCGCCGCCGCCGCCAGCGCAGGCGAGGGCTGCGGCAGATGGACACTCCGCGACTGTTGGCGGGGCGACCTCCGCTCTCTTTGCGGAGATTCGCAACGGTGGCGACAACATCGCCGGGCGACTGCGTCACGTGGAGGATCACGAAAAGACGTACAAGCAGAACGTCCAGCACGGCGCAGTAGACTTCTCTGACCTCGAGGAGAAGAAGGCCGAGGTGGATGCAAGGCGTCAGCAGCAGGGTAAGTCGACGGCCGCTGCTGCAGCGGAGGCGCCTCTGTTGCAGCTCGAGGGCGATAAGCGCTGGGTGGTGAAGCACCACAAGGGCACAGCCGCTATGCAGCAGAAGGTGACCCTTGACAAGGTAAGCATGCGGCAGGCCGTGCAGATTTTTAACTGTGAATACCTCGTGGTTGAGGTCAAGGGCAAGGTCAACTCCGTCTCCGTCGTGTCCTGCAACAGGGTGCAAGTTGTGATGGAGAGCGTGGTGTCCTCGCTGGAGGTGCTGAAGTCGGGAGACGTCGACGTGAAGGTGCACCGCGCCGTCCCAACTGCCTCCGTGGAGAAGAGCACGTCGGTAAACCTGTACCTCATGGACAAGGACGAGGCGCTTAACACGGACATTGTCACCGCATGCAGCTCCGCGGTCAACGTCAACTTCCCCTCAGAGGAGGACGCCAGCGACATCATTGAGCGGCCACTGCCGGAGCAGTTCGTCTCCAAAATCGTGCGCGACAAGAAGGGCGGGTTCAAGATTGAGACGAAGCCTAGCGAGGTCGCCTAACGTTGCCACCCCCTGCACACTGCACACTGCGTATGGAGGAGGCATGCGGCGGCGTCGAGTGGGGGCTCCCGCAGCGAAGGAATAGATTGAAAATAAAAGAGAGGAAGGAAGGGACAGAAATGATGGGAGAGTAGGAGGAAGCAGAGGAAGGGGCAACTCTGAGGACCGCCAACATGGTCCCGAAACCATCCAGCTGCACGCAAACGCATTCGTGAGTGCCGTACGTTCCCTCTCTTACACACGCGCGCTTGCATGCACGCAATCGTAGGCCGAGGCTGTTTACATTTTTACTTACTTCTGTAAGTGGCAGCGTATAGGTGGTGGTGGTGGTGGTGGTGGAAGGGGGATGAGTATATAAGTGTACGAAGCGTAGTAGGGCTCCAACAGTGACACACATTCACACACAGAGAGAGAGAGAGGGAGAGAGCAGAATTCCCTCTTTAAAATTTGTGATAGTAGCACGCTTGCAAGCACTTTTATATTTGGTTTAGTTATTGTTTGTTTCTTGCTCTAATGTGTGGGTGTGTGTGCACATTAATTGTATTATGATTCTTGTTCGTTGCTGCGACGCTGACAAGTCTGTCTTATATTTTACTTGCTTTTAACGGTTAATTCGACTAGGGAACGACCTGCAAGACGACACACGCGCCGTGCCGCGTTGCCGCTCTATGTTTTTCCTTTCCATTCAGTGCTTTTATACAGTGGCCGCCCACTCGGCTCTCGCGCCCGTCTCGCGTGGCATGCGTGCCTTTCTTTCTTTCTTTCTTTGTCTTTGCAGTAAATCTTGGACGTAGGTCACACCGCCGCCTCAGTGCGTGTGCGCGATAGTGGGCAAGGAAATCTCGGGAGGAGCGGGAGGAGGGGTCGTCTTGGCGTGGTGTGGAGGGAGGGTGCGGGGGCAACGTGCTCGCGTGCCGCAAGTAGCTCCAGGCGTCACACGTGCGGGGAGAGGGCAGCGGAGCATGGCATCGCTGAACACAGAGCTTGCGCTTGTGAAACGATTTCACGCGTTGAGCAAAAACTACGAGAACCGCCCGGTGGTTGCTCGCCGCAGCACGCTTCCGGCGCTGGTCCGTTTTCTGGGAAGCAAGGATCGAGAGACACGAAAGTACTCCCTCGCGGCTCTGCAACTCTTGGCAGAGCACCCTGAGAACGTGGAGCTGCTCACCGAGGAGCGTGCGCTTGTGAAGGAGGTCTTTAGGGTGCACAAGGACGCCGAATACGACGATCCGGAGCTCTTCGACCTGACGAACAAAGTTCTCGACCTGCTAGAGCCTGCTCTCGTGGGCCGGGACCCCAGACAGCAGGAGGCGCCTGAGGCAAGGGACGTGGGTTGTAGTGGCGGCAATGGTCGCATGGAGGACACTAAGGCGAATGACGGCTCTTTTTTGGCGCGACGATCGCGAGCTGCTCGTGTCTTACGCGGCGTTGGGTCCGACGCGATCCACACCGTTCTTCTCGACATACCCGCCCTTGACCCTCGAAACGGGGATGACCTAGCGACCATTGAGGACATTTTTCAGTCAACGCGTGGGGTCCTGTCGTACTCCATCTTCTTAGAACAAAGACAGGCGCAACTGTTTATGACCTGCGAAACCCGGGCCTTGCGGCAGTCGCTTTTAGACTCTGGCTTTGAGTTCATTGTGGTGCAGGATGACGTGGTGAACCAGGGCATCTTTGGCGGCGACGAGGGCGGCGGCCACGTGGGCAACAATCGTGGTTACTACGGCGGGGAGGCTCCGCCGAGGCGGCCCTCGTACCTAGAGAGCCTCACCAACACCCTTTACGAGACTGCGTTGGTGCTGCGCGGCGGCGGCGGTCGAGACGACAGTCTCTCCGGCCGTGTGCGGCGCCAGCAGGACCGCGAGCAGCGAGGGACCTCCATGCTGGGCCAAGTGGCGAGTGCCCTGTCGAAGTGGTGGTGATGGCGGACGGGAGCGGGAAAACAAAACCAAAAAAAAACTGGGAAAGGGTGGATGGCAATCATGCACGCAAGGAACTAAGAGTGAAATAAGGTAAGAAGAAAAGGCAAGACTCTGTGTTTTTAAACATTCCGAGATGAATAGAGGGAAAAACATTTAGTTGCTTTTTTTTTTACGCATGTAGTGACGAAAAAGTAACATGAACGAACAACGACGATAGAACTGCTGTGTTAGATTATTTAATGCAGCAAAGGTGGACCATAATATATATATATATATATATATATATTTTATACTGTGCATGGATGCGGTTCTATCATCATCTCCCACTCTCCCACTCTCTCTGCCATAACTGGTGTCCACCCCCGGACGCACGTGTGAAGGGCAGAATCCATATTTAATGCTTACTTTCTTCTTTTGCACACACACACACACGCACGAACGGAGTTGAGTTTCAAACTAAAAAATATATTTATAAGGGTGAAAAGGCTATACCGCTGCACCTGCTTGTATTGGTTTGTCCCTTCTTCTTTAGAGCGTTAAGGCATATTTTATTTATTTATTATTCTGTTGTTGTTGCTCCGTCCTCTCACCGGACTCCAGGAGTCAGCCATGCCGCGCCGTGTTGGTCGCCTGCTCCCTTACTTCCTGATTCTGGCCCTCTGGACGACGCTGCAGCCTGCGGCGGCTGAGGTTTACATCCGGCTCTTTCCCGGGAAAGAATTGTGCCTGAACTACGAGGGATACCGCGACCCGGAGGATGATCCGCCTACTGTGGACCTCCGCCACCGTGGGCTTGACCCGCGCAACGTCAATATCCGCACTCGCCTCTACAACCCCAGTGGGGCACAGGTAGTTCTCAGCGAACGCATTGACCCGTTTGGTACCCCCTACTCACTTTTTTTCAAAGTGACAGAGACGGGCACTTATCGTGTATGCATGCGCACCCCACTGAGTCACCCGCCGCTACGGTTTGAGATGCGCTTTGTTGGGGAGAACGATCTCGTAGATCCAACAACCACCACCGAGGGGGTTCCCGTGGTTGACAAGCCAGTAGACGTAGAGGACTACCAGGCGCGCTTGAAGATGTTGGACCTTTGCGTGCAGGTCACTCTAGACGAGGTTCGCATGGGCGAGAACCGCCTCCACATGTTTGATGACGTCACCCAGTTGACGTACTACCTCACGGCGGGGATGCTTTTTCTCAACTTGGCTCTTTCTATTGGCCTGAGCGTGTGGGCCGAGAAATACCTAGAGCGCTACTTTATGAAGAAGAAGATCGTCTAGTCAAAAGACAGGAATCTCTGCCTTGCCCTGCAGATGAAAA